GTGATTCTTGGGGTAATGGGGTTCCTCCTTCCAAAAAGGGCTGGGAACAGGGAAGGGAATGTTCTAGACCCATAAGAGAAGTCAGAGTGTAAATCCAGGGCAGGGCCGCAGGCCTCCCCAGCGACGCAGACATGGGTCGCCTGCTGTATACACAGTCCCAGGGACCCTGGGCCTCATTTGGTATTATTATCCAAAGAATGAACCCCCCCCCCCCAATTCCACAAAGGAGCGAACCCAGAATTCAGAATTGGTGTCAGATGCCATGAATATTTGGGAAGGTGGACCGGGTACACATCCTGACATTCTTGGGGGCTCCTTGCTGGTGTCCAGTGCTTCCACTCCCAGGACACGATCTGGGGGTGACGGGAGACCTCTGCCCCCTCCATACATAGCGAGCGCCTTTTTCACAGCCCCCCCAGCGTGTGTTCGGGACGTATTTCCGGGTGGGATTTTACGGCGCCCGCTTTGGGGACCTGGATGAGCAGGAGTTTGTGTACAAGGAGCCGTCCATCACCAAGCTGGCCGAGATCTCACACCGCCTGGAGGCATGTCCCCGAGCTGGGGGGAGCGGGGCCCAGGGCCAGGACAGGGGCTGCACCCCTCCGCCCTGACCCGACCCTGTGCCCTCAGGAGTTCTACACAGAGAGGTTCGGAGAGGACGTGGTGGAGATTATCAAAGACTCCAACCCCGTGGACAAGGCCAAACTCGATCCACAGAAGGTGGGTCCCCTTACCACCACCACCCCCATATCTTTATTATTTTTTTGCCAGTCCTGGGCTTGAACTCATGGCCTTGGCGCTGTCCCTGAATTTCCTTTGGTCAAGGTTAGCGCTCTACCACTTGATCCACAGCGCCACTTCCGGTTTTTTCTGTGTATGTGGTACTGAGGAATGGAACCCAGGGCTTCATGCATGCTAGGCAAGCACTCTACCATGAAGCCACTTTCCCAGCCCCCCAAATCAGATCTTCAAGGACACTCCAAGCACTATTTCCTGGAGGAACTTAAAATCCCTTTTTTTTCCCCTCTGAGTGTGGTGGTTCACACCTGTAATCCCAGCACTCAGGAGGCTGATGCAGAAAGATCTGGAGAGAAAAGAAAAAGTGCATAACTCCAACCTTATCTTCTTTGGGATTCCCAGATACCCATAGGAAGGCCTGGGTACTCCCAGAACCGAAGCCCCCCAGAATTAAGGCATCAGGTTGTGTATAACATGGGAGCCGGGCATGGTGGGGCTCATGCCTAACCCCACACTTCAGGCCTACATCCAGATCACGTACGTGGAGCCCCACTTCGACACCTACGAGCTCAAGGACAGGGTGACGTACTTCGACCGCAACTATGGGCTGCGCACCTTCCTGTTCTGCACGCCCTTCACGCCCGATGGACGCGCGCACGGCGAGCTGCCCGAGCAACACAAGCGCAAGACCCTGCTGAGCACCGAGCACGCCTTCCCCTACATCAAGACGCGCATCCGCGTGTGCCACCGCGAGGAGGTGGGGCCTGCCAGGATGGCTGGCAGGATCTGGGGAGGGAGGCTGGGGGGGACATCCGGGCCTGGAGAAGAAAGATGGGGGGGAGCAGCAAGCTTGGGAAGGGTTGGCAGAGACCCCCAGACCTAGAAAGGAGAGGCATAAGGACACCCCAGGAAAGAAAAGGCCCAGGGAAGAGAGGCATGGAAGCCAGGCACTGGGGGCTCACGCCTGTCATCCCAGCTACTCTGGAGGCTGAGATCTGAGGAGCATGGTTCAAAGCCAGCCCGGGCAGGAAAGTCCATGAGACTCTTAGCTCCAGTGAACCACCAGAGAACCGGAAGTGGCGCTGTAGCTCCAAGTGGTAGAGCTCAGGGACAGCGCCCAGGCCCTAAGTTCAAGCCCCATGACTGACCAAAAACAAAGAGGCATGGAGACACCCCCACCCCCCAAAAAAAATCTGGGCAGGGAAGCAGGACCCACCCCAAACCAAAGCCAGAAATCAACGCGGCGGACAGCCTAGGCAGGAGGGTGCTCCCGACCCGGCACCACCCACCTTCTCGGGGGGCGTGATTTGGACCCCGGCAGTGTCCCCCCCTCCACCCCCCTGCAGACCGTGCTGACGCCCGTGGAGGTGGCGATCGAGGACATGCAGAAGAAGACGCGCGAGCTGGCCTTTGCCACGGACCAGGACCCTCCCGATGCCAAGATGCTTCAGATGGTGCTGCAGGGCTCCGTGGGGCCCACAGTGAACCAGGCAGGCTGCCGCGCATGCGCAGGGCAGGGGGCACACGGGCCGCCGGGGAGCCGTGTCTCCAGACACCAAGCGCACCCCTCGCCTACAGCTCCCTCTCTCCTGGTAGGGTCCCCTGGAGGTGGCCCAGGTGTTTCTAGCGGAGATCCCAGAGGACCCCAAGCTCTTCCGGCATCACAACAAATTGCGCTTGTGTTTCAAGGACTTCTGTAAAAAGTAGGCTGGGTACCCCCCCCAGGAAGCTGCTGTGACCCCCCCAACTCTCTCCCCCCCCAATTATAAGCCTTATCAGCCTGACTCCTCAGTTATGGCTGCTCTACTTCCTGTGCGACCCTCTGCCTGCCACCAGTGAGAATTCTTTCCAGCCTCCAGCCTCCCTCCTCCCTCCTCAGGTGTGAAGATGCCCTGCGGAAGAACAAAGCCCTGATCGGGCAGGACCAAAAGGAGTACCACCGCGAGCTGGAGCGCCACTACTGCCGCCTGAGGGAGGCGCTTCAGCCCCTGCTGACCCAGCGCCTGCCACACCTGCTGGCACCGACGCCAGCCAACCTCAGGTGCTCAACTAGCACCTCCGCCTTAGGGCCACAGGGAGACTGAGCAAAGGCAGACAGAGACAGCATTGCCAAGGACAGGGCAGGCTCTGGGCTGTGGTGAGGTCATCTCCAAGAGCCTCAGTCTTCACATCTAAGAAATGGGCACGATCGGTTCCTCTCGTGGCAGGTCTGTGAATCCCGCAGCAAAAATCAGAATAGACAGGAAAGATCCTAGAAGACAAGGTGGGCTGAGGAGCACTACGGAGTTTTGCGGGGGCCCTGTGTCCTTATTAACACTCCACATTTCACCCCTCAGGAACTCCCTAAACAGAGCAAGTTTCCGGAAGGCAGATCTCTGAGCTACGTGCTTGAATCTACACCCCGGAGGACCAACACCCAGGCTTAGCTGTCTGGGCCTCACTCACCCAGGGGCTGGGCCCTCTGTCTGTCTATGTCTGTTCCCATCCGTGTGCACTGATATGCCCTTACCTTTCTTAATTTAAAATGTTTTTTATATGCAACATGTGTGGTGATCTCCGGGTGGGCCATGTGTGGGCAGTTCATCCCCAGTACCCCAGGGCCTGAGATGGTCCACGGAGATGCTGTGAACCCACTGGGCACCGTGAACTCTAGGCTGGCCAAGGCCCAAATCCCTCGGACCAAGGGAGCTGACATTCTAGCAGAGGTGACACGAAGAATGCCCACTGGGAAAACTGCAACACCAATGCTAAAGCTACTGGGTGGCTTCCAGAGAGTTCTATGCGAAAATAGGCCACCTAGGGTGTTTGCTTAGGGTTAAGGGGAGGATATGCGGGTGTTGCCCAGTGGTAAAGTGCCTGTGGATTAAGTTGAAGGCCCTGAGTTCCAATCCCAGTACCCCAGGAAAAGAAAAACAGAAGGCTTGCTTAGCATGCATAAGACTGACTTAGGCCAGGTGCTAATGGCTCACGCCTTTCATCCTAGCTACTGTGGAGGCTGAGATCTGAGGATTATGGTTTGAAGCCAGCCTGGGCAGGAATGGAGCTGTGGCTCCAGGAATAAAGAATGCCAACTTTGAGCTGGGAAGGTGGTTCAGTGGTAGAGCGCTTGCCTCGCATGCATGAGGCCCTGGGTTTGATTCCTCAGCACCACATAAGCAGAGAAAGCCGGAAGTGGCCCTGTGGCTCAAGTGGTAGAGCATTTGCCTTGAGCTGAAGAGCTGAGGGAAGGTGCCCAGGCCCAGAGTTCAAGCCCCAGGACCGACCAAAAAAAAAAAAAAAAGAATGCCAACTTTGAGAGAAAAAGCTCAGAGATTGTGGGAGGTTCTGAATTTGAGACCCCAGTACTGGCATGTGCATGCATACACATGTGCATGCATACACACACACACACACACACAAATGAGAAAGATCAAAAGCAGTTGGTCCAGGCCATAACTTATTTTTGGTCCATCATGGGGCTTGAATTGAACTCTGGGCCTGGGCGCTGTCCCTCAACTGTTCAGCTCAAGGATTTGAGCCACAGCACCACTTCTAGCTTTTTCTGCTTCTGAGGTGCTGAGGAATGGAACCCAGGGCCTCATGCATGTGAGTCAAGCGCTCTACCACTGAGCCACCTTCCCAGCCCGCAGGGCATAGGTTTTAAAGTCTCTGCCTGGGGTGGAGGGAGTTTTCTGAGCCACCTATCAGGTAGGCTAAGCAATAATGAACTCCAGTGTATGGATGGGGAAACTGAGGCACAGCACAGAATTTAAAAAACCCTAAGGAGTGTGGGATTGGAGTCCAGCTCTGGCTGGCAGCCCCCGCGCCCGCCCCCCGGCGGTCATGCCACCGAGTACCAGGCCTGCGCTGGGCGGTTTCCAGACCCGTGCGGCCGGGAAGGAGGGGGGGAGGGAAGAGTGACCTCCCGCTGCCACCGCCGGGCCCGCCCCCAGCTGGGCCCGCGCCGGCCCCGCCCCCTGCGGCGGCGGGGGTACGTGGGAGGAGGGGGGGCTGACCCGGGATTGCTGGTTAAGGGGGACAGGCCCGAACCCCCCAGGCCTGCACACATACCTGCCTTGCAGGTGCGCCCGCCCCTCGGCTCTGCGGGTCCCGGGACCCCCGCCGCCTGGGCGCCCGGACGGCGGAGGGGGCGTGGCGGCCGCGGTGGGCGTGGCGGCCGCGAGGGGCGTGGCTACTCGAGGGGCGTGTCGGTGGGCGTGGCCGCGGCCGGGCGGCGGCGGCGGCGCGCGGAGGACGCACGGGGCGGCGGGACGCGGGGGGACGGCGGCGGCCGGAGCGCGCCAGCCCGGCGGGGTAGGATCCGGGGGGCTGCGGGGTCGGTCGGGGCTTGAGTCCCAGTTTTGGGGGGGTAGGGGTCCAGCGTGATCGCCCCCCCCCGCCCTTCCTCCACCTGGGGGAGGCGGCCAGCCGCGGGGCGGAGGGCGGGGGCCGGAGGCGGAGCGGCCGCCGGGAGAAACTTGGCCCCGGGGTGTCCAAACTTTTTTCCGGCTCGTCCCCCACCCTGACCGGCTTCCCCGGGGCCCTCCCCTCCCCCGGCCCCACCGAGCCGCGGGCGCTGCGGCCCGGCCCGGCCCGCGGGCGGCGGGAAGGCGTCCGGCCCGCGGCGGGGCCTGGGCCTGGCGGGCGGCGGGCGCGGGCGGCCGGCCGGGCGGGACCGGGCCGCAGCTGTTTGCTATTAGCGTGGGGGGGGACCCGCCTCCCCTCCCCCTGCACGGGGCGGGTCCTCCCTCCTCCCCCCCCCCCCCCGCCGTCCCCGCTCCCCCCAACTTCGGGGCGGGGAGAGGAGGGCTGGAAAACCCGTGACACACCCAGGCCCTTTGGGGAGACCCCCCCACCCCGTTCCCTATCCCTGAGCCCCCTTCTCCCCTCTCCTGGAACAACCCCATCTTTTCTCCTCTGCAGCCCTACTTCTGGCTTCTTGCCCCTCGCCTGCTCAGAGGGCGCTGGGATGACAGGGAACCCCTGGGGATCCCTGCGCCACCTCCCCCTTACTGCCTGTTCTGGAATGGGGGGGGTTGAAGGAGGGGGGGCGCACTAGCCAGATCTGCCAGGCTTAGGTTCGAGTCCTGGCTCGGTCAGCTTCCCCAAGGATGAGAGTCACTGTCCCCCTTTTCTGTGTCTCCACCTGTAAAGCGGGGTGCTCCCCGTATTTGGAAGAGTGGTGACTAGCACCTGTCAGCCTAGCTACTCCTGGGGAGGGGGGGGGCTGCGAGCTGAAGACCACAGCTCAAAGCCAGTCAGGGCAGGAAAGTCTTTGCAACTCTTTATCTCCACCAAAAAGCCCTGGAATGGAGCTCTGACTCAAGCAGTGAAGTGCCATCCCTGATTGCAAAAAAACTAAAGGACAGCACTCAGGCCGGGGGTTCGCCCCCGTCTTGGCACATGCGAAAAACTGTTATATTCACCCTACTTCCAACACCCTGTCTCCCAGGCGATTCCCTTCCTGACCCCTGTCCCTGGGAAGTCTCTCGTTGGTCCCCAGAAAATATTTTAGGTCAGCTTCCTGTTACCCGAGGGGAGTGCGGCTCCAGGCAGACAGATGGGAAACCTAATTTCCTATCATCAGTCACCCTGCATTCCAGGTGTTGAAAGTCAGCAAAGCCAGGACAGAGACGTGACAGACAGGGAGAGGGACGTGCAGAGGGACGAGGAGACCCGGAGAGCCACAGACGTGTGAAGAGAGACTCAGCGAGACAGACGGGAAAACCAGCTCAAGTGCGGCGGTTCCTGGAGCCCCAGCCTCGCCTTCATGCCCGGCCGGTGCCCCACCTGGCTGGTCTTCCCAGGTACCCAGCTGCCCGCGGGCCAGGTCGGGAAACTGACCCCAGATGTCTGCAGCACGGTGACTGTAGGTCAGACGAGAGGAAGGACTGGCCAAGTTCAAGCAGGGTGTTGGGGACAAAAGGGTCCTGGACGGCATCCAGGGCCGAAGGGTGCTTAGTGAGAGGTCCTGATTGTCCCTCTTTTTTTTTTCATGGCCTCGCTGAGCCCCCTTTTACTTCCCGCCCCCCCCCCCCCCCCCCGATTTCCCGGGCCTCCACCCTGGCCCTGTTGTGCGCCCCCCACGCCGGACGCGTCCTGGGGGGGCAGGAAGTTGGTTCTGTGTAGCCGGGCAGTGAAACTGTTTATTTTTAGAGAAAATCGTTTTCCATAGTTGGGCGGGGGAAAGCTTTCCCAACTTGCTGCCTCCCCCACCGGCCCGGCCTGACCCGGCCGTCTTGTTTTCTGGGGGGGGTGAGGGGGGTGTCACGTAGCGCTCCCTCACGTCCCTGCTCCGTCTCCGTGTGTCCTCTGTGTGTCTGTCTCTTTTGATCTCTGCTGGAAGACCCCCCCTTCCCCACCGCGCGGCTCACCCCCATCTTTCTCGGTGGCCTGGGCCGAGGAGAGGGGGGGCAGGATGGGTGGGGCTGCGGGCTTGGGGGCCCCCGGGCCCGGGGCTGTGCGGAGGCCGGGCTGTGGGAACAGCTGGAGCCTGTCCAGGGGCTGGACAGATGTGTGCTCGGGCGGGGAGGTTGGGTTTTCTTTGTTCCAGGCCTGGCTGGGGCTGGGCGTGAGTCTAATCCGGGGTTCTGGGTGGGGTTGTGTGGAGGAGGTGGGCACTCTCCCCCCTCCCCCACAAACACTGATACATTCTTCCTGACACCCCCCCCCCCACTCTACACTGTCTCCCCAGGTCAGCTGCCGCCAGTGCTGCAGGCAGTCTGACTTGCAGTCCCAGGACAGCTCCTGACCAGCGTCTGCAGACAAGAGGATGGCTCAGGTTCTGCACGTGCCAGCCCCCTTCCCAGGTTTGCACAGGCCAGGGGTTGGGGGAAGTGGGGTCCTGCTATGGGGGTCTGAGGGAGGAGACACAGCCCTGCCGTGTGGGAGTCAGAGGGAGGAGGCACAGCCCTGTCATTGGGTCTGAGGGAGGAGGCACAGAACTGTGGTCTAAGGGTCTGAGGGAGGAGGCAAAGCCCTGCCGCGTGGGGTCTGAAAAAGGAGATGCATCCTGGACATATGGGGGTCTGAGGGTGGAGGCACATCCGTGCTGTGTGCAGGTCTGAGGAAGGAGGCCCAGCCCTGTCATGGGGTCTGAGGGAGGAGGCCTAGCCCTGCTGAGTGGGGGTCTGAGGGAGGAGGCACAGCCCTGTCATGGGGTCTGAGGGAGGAGGCCCAGCCCTGTCATGGGGTCTGAGGGAGGAGGCACAGCCCTGTCTGTAGGGGGTCTGTGGGAAGAGGCACAGCCCTGCTGTGTGGGGATCAGAGGGAGGAGGCCCAGCCCTGTCATGGGGTCTGAGGGAGGAGGCACAGAACTGTGGTATAAGAGTCTGAGGGAGGAGGCCCAGCCCTGCCGTGTGGGGTCTGAAAGAGGAGATGCAGCCTGGACATGTGGGGGTCTGAGGGAGGAGGCCCAGCCCTGTCATGGGGTCTGAGGGAGGAGGCCCAGCCATCGTGGGCCTCGGAGGGGCTTGTGGGGGAGGCCTGAGGCCGGGGCGCTGGGCGGGGCGGCGCAGGCTTAGGGGCGGCGGGGCTGTGTGCACTCCGCAGGGACGCCGGGCCCCGCATCGCCGCCGCCGCCCCCGGCCCGCGAGGCCGAGCCGCCGTACTCGGTGGAGACGCCGTACGGCTACCGGCTGGACCTGGACTTCCTCAAGTACGTGGACGACATCGAGAAGGGCCACACGCTGCGGCGCGTGGCGGTGCAGCGCCGGCCGCGGCTGGGCTCGCGCGGCGCGGGCTCGTGGTGGACCTCCACGGAGTCGCTGTGCTCCACGGCCAGCGCCGACAGCCGCCACTCGGCCTGGTCCTCCTGCGGCCGCAGCGGCCTCCACGGCCAGCCCGAGGCCCGCGGGGGCTTCAACCCGCGCGTGGAGCGCACGCTGCTGGACGCGCGGCGGCGCCTGGAGGCGCAGGTGGGCCCGGGCCTGGGCGCGCTGCCCCCCAGCCTGGCGGGCTCCACCAGCTCGCTGCCCCCCGCCGCCACGCCCCGCGGCTCGGGGCTGTCCACGCCCGTGGCGCCCAGCGCCAGCCACCTGGCCCACGTGCGCGAGCAGATGGCCGCGGCGCTGCGCAAGCTGCGGCAGCTGGAGGAGCAGGTGAAGCTCATCCCCGTGCTCCAGGTCAAGCTGTCCGTGCTCCAGGAGGAGAAGCGCCAGCTGGCCGTGCAGCTCAAGAGCCACAAGTTCCTGGGCGCCCCCTCGGCGGGGGCCCGCGAGCCCCCCGGGGCCCCGGATGACACCCTGGCTCTCCCCACCCGCAGCGTGGGCACGTGGGTCCGGGAGAGGGACCTGGGCCTGCCGGACGCCGAGGCCGCGCTGGCCGCCCAGGTGGCCGCACTGGAGACGCAGCTGCACCAGGCGCTGCAGGAGCTGCAGGCGGCCCAGGCCTGCCCCCCGCAGCCCCCCAACAGCCCCGGCCGCGTGGACACCCTCCGCGTGGTGCAGGGCCCACGCGAGGTGGAGGTGGCGGCCAGCACGGTGGCCGGGACCCCCGCCCAGAGAGCCCAGGACCTGGAGCCCTACGGAGCGGGCCTGAGGGCGCTCACCACGTCCGGCGGGGGCCCCCAAAACCCGGCGGTCTTCCGCAGCCACGAGGTGGTGGAGGCCATGTGCCCCGTCCCGGCCACGCCCGCCGGCCACGTCCACGTGATCAAAAAGATCAGCATCACGGAGCGCGGCTGCAATGGGACCGCAGGTGAGTGGGGAGGGCGGGTGTGCGTGTCATGGGGGGCACCCTCCTGCCGCCAGCCTCTGCCATGCCCTCTCTTCATGGTCTCCCCCCCCCCACGAAAGGAAGGGTGGGTGGGAATCCCACTTCCAATCTCAGCGCCGTGAGGGGCAGGCAGAGAAATAGAGGGTATCTGGTCTTGTGGCTTCTTGGAAATGTCTAGAAAAAGAGGATTTAGGTGTGGTGGGGAGACGCGTCCCCCAAGATCGCCCACGCGCGAGACAGAAAACCTCGTGTTCATTCCCTGAGGGCTTGGAGCCATTGAGCCCCAGAGGAAGAAAATGTGTTGTTCTGGTGACCGAGGCGGCTTCAGGCACGGCGGGATCCAGGGGCTCGGGTGTCACTGCGAGTGTGTCGCACCTTCCCGCCCCTGTCCTGGCTGGACCCGGGCGGCTTCTGAGGCCACAGCAAGGTGGCTCCGGCTTTGTGCCTGGAACCTGCAGAGCTAGGGGTTCAGGGGAACCCTTCGGTCCAGCGAGCACGGGTGACAAAACTCCTGACCAGGCCTATCATGGCGGGGGCAGCCGCGCCACCGCCTGCTGGCTCTGGATCCCTGAGGGCCGCCGGAGGGCTTGGGCAGGACTCTGTGGAGGGGAAGGAGGTGCAGAGGAAGTACCGAGCCCTCGTGCCAGGAAAGGGGTACAGGCCTGTCAGCTGGCCGGGGAGAGGCTGCCAGCATGATTCATACTGGCGGCACAGCTGCTCACGAGGCGGAGTCCAGCCAGGGGCGCGGGGCGCTGCGCTCAGCATTTCTCCAAGGAGGGGCTGGGGAGGGCCTGGCCGCCGCCCGCCCGGGTTCGGATTGTACCTGGCGCTCTTGAGTGGCCCTGGGTGAGTGACCTTGCCTCTCTGGGCCTCAGTTTCCCTCCCTGTGAGCCTTTGGTGGAATGCCAATTGGGACTGCTCTCTGGAGGCCTCAGGAGTCCATGTATACAGAAAGTGCGCAATAGGTGCTTTTTTAAAAATGTGTGTTGTTCACGGGGTTTGGGCTCAGGGCCGTGTCCCTGAGCTCTTTCACTCAAGGCTGGAGCTCTGCCACTTGAGCCACAACGCCACTTCTGGTTTTCTGCTGGTTCATCGGCGATAAGAGTCTCATGGATTTTCCTGCCCAGGCCGGCTTTGAACCGCAGTGCTCAGATCTCAGCCTCCTGAGTAACTAGGATCGCAGGTGTGAGCCGTGTACCCGGTTTGGAGCCGGGGAGATCGCTCAGCTGCCCGGCTGTTTTCTGGGTCCCCGGTGTTGCTTCTGGCAAGCTGGGGACACCGCGCCTGTGTGCCCTGTCCCTCCAAAACACTCAGTCCTGCAACTCTGGCCCCCAGCCAGAGGCCTGCCCGGCCCCGCCTCGCAATCTCTTGAGAGGCTGTGTACCTCCATTCCAGACATGCCTCCTGAGTCAGGCTTCTGACCCGAGGACAGACAGACGTCATGATGTCTAGTCCCTAACAGTGCCTGCTGCTAGCCCTGGAAGTCCCTCCTTAGGTCTCACTTTACTCCTCCTTGCTGCGGCCGGCTCTATCTCAGAACATCTTTGGCAGTTCTGTTTACTGCTTCCGAATCCTGGGCCTGGTCTTTGGTGTGGGTCCGCTCTTCATTTCTTTCCAGTGCCTTGAACTCTAGGCTGGGCGCTGTCCCTCAGCTCTTCAGTTCAAGGCGAGCACTCTACCACTTGAGCCATAGCGCCACTTCTGGCTTTTTCTGAGTAGTTCATTGGAGATAAGAGTCTCTCAGGCTTTCCTGCCCAGGTTGGCTTTGTAACGTGAGTCTTGAAGGTAAATCAAGGCTGGGAGCCTGGCTTAGAGGTAGGGCGCCTGCAAGGCAGGCCTGAGGCTGGACTCCATCTCTAGCACTGCAAGAAAGAAGCTGTGAGTTGTTTCCAACGTGGCCCTGGGTGGTGGCAGGTGTCTAGGTTTTGTGGCCAGGTTAAAAATAAGCTGGAAGGGCTGGGAAGGTGGCTCAGTGGTAGAGCGCTTGCCTTGCATGCCTGAGGCCCTGGGTTCGATTCCTCAGCACCATATAAGCAAAAAGAAAAAAGCCGGAAGTGGCGCTGTGGCCCAAGTGGTAGAGCGCTGGCCTTGAGCTGAAGAGCTGAGGGACAGCGCCCAGTACAGAGTTCAAGCACCACAACTGGACCTCCCCCCCCCAAAAAAAAGCTGGAAGCCGGGCACCGTGGCTCACACGTGTAATCCTAGTTACTCAGGAGGCTGAGATCTGAGGATCGTGGTTCAAAGCCAGCCCAAGCAGAGAAGTCCATGAGACTTCTCTGGAAATGGCGCTGTGGCCCAAGTAGTAGAGCACTAGCCTTGAGCAGAAGCATTCAGGCACAGAGTTCAAGCCCCCCGACTGACAAAACAAAACCAAAAGACAAAAACAGCTGAGTGGGCAAGGAGATTTAAAAAAGGGTATGCCAGGTAAGGTGCAGCTGGGACCAAGCCCCTGGTGTCAGGGCTTTATTAGGTGTAGAATATGCTAGAAGATGTGAGAACAGGAAAGAGGTACCGGGGATGCTGATCATCGAGGGGTGCGGCCAGTGGGGCTCACATGGCCTGTGACAATCTCATGTAAGACATGACAGTGGAGGACTTCAGTAGCCACTCAGGTCAGCTTGGTGAAGAAATCAGGAGGCCTCCCTGGAGGCGGCGGCAGAGCAGGACTCGCCTCTTTACCCTCACCGAAAGCAGCTGCTCTTCAGCAAAGCCTAGAGAGTGGGGGAGGGGGGAGGGTGAAGAACCACTCAGGCTGGCAAGGTGGGGGGGGGTGTTAGTCAAAGCCTGGAGGACCCCCACACACACACACACACAGGGCCTGGGCGCTGTCCTTGAGTCTCTGTACTCAAAGCTAGTGCTTTCCCACTTGAGCTTAGTTTCTGAGTAATTGATTGGAGATAGGAGTCTCTCGGACTTTCCTGCCCGGGCTGGCTTTGAACCGTGATCCTCAGATGTCAGCCTCCTGAGTAGCTGGGATTACAGGCGTGAGCCACCAGGGCTTCCCAGTCTTCCCTCCCCCCTTTCCTCCCTCCCTCCCTTCCTTCCTTCCTTCCTTCCTTCCTTCCTTCCTTCCTTCCTTCCTGTCTTCCTTCCTTCCTTCCTTTCTTTTTCTTTCTGTTTTTGAGATCTTTGTTGTCATTTTCCAGTTCCCTTGCCCATGGCTGGGGCACTCACCCGTGGCCAGACGTAATGGGATGCTTGTGGTTTGATAGGTTAGCACTTGGGATGCTGAGGTAGGAAGATCATGAGTTCAAGGCCACCTCAGGCTGTGTAGCAAGACTCTGGCTCAGCAAAACAAATTTAAGAAACAAATTTTGTTCTTGAGGAGCTCAAAATTGTGCTCAACTAATTCTACGCCTAACTGGGGTGCACGTAACTAACTCCTCCCTTGCTCTGCTGGTTAGTTGGAGACAGGGTCTCTCCAACTTTTCTGCCCAGGTTGTCTTTGTACTGCAGTCCTGTGGATCTCAGCCTCCTCAGGATTACAGGCATGAGCCACCAGCACCCGGTCCAAGGAATATTCTTTTGTTGTTGTTGTTGTTGTTTTTCTGTTGGTCGTGGGGCTTGAACTCTGGGCCTGGGCGCTGTCCCTGAGCTCTTCAGCTCAAGATGAGTGAGTACTGTATCATTTGAGCCACAGCACCACTTCTGGGTTTTCTGGTGGTTTACTGGATATAAGAGTCTCACAGACATTCCTGTCCAGTCTGGCTTTGAACCGTGATCCTCAGATCTCAGCCTTCTGAGTAGCTAGGATTGTAGGCGTGACCACTAGCACCTGGCTAGGAGTATTCTTTTGTGTGGGTGTGAAATCGGGATTTGAACTCAGCCTCATGCTGACTTCATAAACTCTCTACCACATGAACCATGGCCGCCAGCTCCACTTTTTTTTTGTCAGTTGTGGGGCTTGAACTTAGGACCTGGGCACTATCCCTGAGCCTCTTTCGGTTGCAGGGCTTGAACTCTGGGCTTCGGCGCTGTCCCTGCATTCTTCAGCTCAAGGCAAGCGCTCTACCCCTTGAGCCACAGCGCCACTTCCAGTTTTCTAGTGGTTTATTAGAGATCAGAGTCTCATGGACTTTCCTGCCTGGGTGGCTTTGAACTGCGATCCTCAGATCTCAGCCTCCTGAGTAGCTAGGATGACAGGTGTCCCTGAGCCTCTTTTGCCCAAGATGAGCACTTTACCACTTGAGCCACAGCACCACGTCTCAGTTTTGATGGTTCATTGGAGATAAGAGTCTCCTGGACTTTCCTGCCCAGGCTGGCTTTGAACTGTGATCCTCAGATCTCAGCATCGTGAGTAGCTGGGATGACAGGCGTGAACCCCTGGCACCTGGCAGTTTTGCTTCCACTGAGATCATTTTCAGATGTGTTCTATTTGTGACTGAGATCACTCACCTGCCTGGCAGTTCTCTGGGTCCCTGGTGGTGTTTCTGGCAAGCTGGGGAATACCATGCCTGTGTCCCCGGTCCCTCCAAACACTCAGCCCTGCAACTCTGGCTCCCAGCCGGCCTCCTGGGAAGCTGGGACTGCAGGCATGTGCCACGGGCATCTGGCTCCTACTTTCCTTCAGTTTATTTTACAGATAGTGTCTCGTGATTTTCCCCAGGATAGCAAACGTCTTACCGCGTGCTCTTTACTAGCTGGGATTACAGGCATGTAGCACAACACCCAGCACAGTATCCTTTTTATTTTTCCCAACCACTTAGCAATGGAAAAAAAATAAACATCCACAGGCTGTAGCTGCCTCAGTGCTGTTCCAGTCCGTCTTGTTTTCTTCCTTGCTTTGTTGTAGCAAGCCAGAGCTCACTGGGTCGTCCTTTTGTGTTCTTCCATTCCCTGTCTCAAATGACCTCCTTCCTCAGCCGCCCTCGGCTGGGCCGCAGCGTTGCCACACCCTGGAGCATTTCTTACTCTACCTTCCAGGGGATTCATTTAGATATTTGAAAAAATATGCCTGTGCCCTGTTTAATTTCCTTACATGGTATTGTGTTTCAGAAAAAGAAGAAAGGGGGGGGGAGCTTTTTGCTTATTTTTTTTCCACTCCTTTTCTTTGTTGTTGCGGTCCTGGGGATGGAATCCAGGGGTTTGCACATGCTAGGCCAGCAATGTACCCACGGAGCCACGCCCACGGCAAAGGAGATTGGTCGGCCGCCGCTTGGCCACGCCCACCCAGGCCACGCCCTCTGCGAGGCCACGCCCAGGCCACCAGCCGCCTCCTCCCAGTCTGAAGTTCCTCTCTGCGCTGCTTTCCAGTCCTTCACAGTGGAGTTTGCAAACCTGGCTTGCTTGTATTTAATGTGTTTGTTTTTGTCAGTCCTGGGGCTTGAACTCACGGCCTGGGTGCTGCCCCCTGAGTTTTTTCCGCTCAGGGCTTAGCGCTCTACCACTTGGAGCCACAGCTCCACATCCAGCCTTTTGGTTGTCCATTGGAGATAAAGAGTTTCATGGGCGTTTCCTGCCTGGGCTGGCTTCGAACTGAGATCCTCAGATCTCAGCCTCCTGCATAGCTAGGATTATAGGCGGCGTCACTGGCACCTGGATTGTTTTTATTTTCTTACTTTAATTTTTGTCATGCGCGCTAGTCCTGGGGCTTGAACTTCAGAAGCCGGGTGCTGCCCCTCAGCCTTTTTACTCAAGGGTGACGCACTACCAATTGAGCCCCAGCCCCACGTCTGGCTTTTTGGAAGTTAATTGGCAACTAGAAGCTCCTGGGCGGACCTGGGAAGGTGGCTCAGTGGTAGAGTGCTTGTCTCACATGCATGAGGCCCTGGGTTCCATTCCTCAGCACCACATAGGTAGGGGGCAAAAAAAGCCAGAAGTGGCGCTGTGGCTCAAGTGGTAGAGCGCTCGCCTTGAGCTGGAGAGCTGAGGGACAGCGCCCAGGCCCAGAGTTCAGGCCCCATGACTGACCAAAAAAAAAAGAATCTCCTGAGCTTTTCTACCGAGGCTGGCCTTGGACTGTGATCCTCAAATCTCAACCTCCTGAGTAGCTGAGATTCCAGGCATGAGGCGCCTAGCTCCTCCAGTGTCTTTTCTGTGGTCTGGGGTGGTTATCTTCAGTACTTTGAAAGATAGGGTACCCCATCCCAGCATCCCCCACCCCACCCCTCCACCTTTTGGGCAGTTTTGGTAGGAGTTCACGTCTCCTCCTGTGTTCCCTTGCCTCTCTGTCTTTTCTGCTCGAAGCCTCTTGCTCTGGGTCTTGGGTGACTCACCACTTTATAGACTTACTTCATTTTTCTACTAGTTTACAGACATTCCTGGAATATTCCAGAATAGGGAATGGCAGACTGCAGCCAGATTTGGCCCGTGGCCTCTCTCAGTGTGGTTCTCAGCTGAGGAAGTTTGGTGGGTAGAGATGGTTTTTTCTTTTGTTTTTTTGAGGGGCGTTTCTTTCTGCTGGGCCTGGGACTTGGGGCTCTGCCTGCTGGGGAAGCACTCAGTCCTGGGGCGTTGTTGCTGTTTTACTTTTTAGGACTTGGAATCTGCGGTTTTGCGCAGGTGCCTGAAACTCTTGGCTTTGTCCTGTGCAGTGCTTGTCCTGTGTCCGTCCTGTAGGCTGGTACTGCAGACGTGCGGCGCCACACGTGACCTCTCCACTGGTGTGAAGATGTCTGAGCCTCCTCATAAGTAAACGTTAGGGGCTGTGGAGTGGGGGTGGACTCCCAGGAATACACTCAGCCAGGAGCAGTAGCTCACATTCATTTCCTTTTTATTCTTTTTCTTTTTCTGTCAGTCATAGGGCTTGAACTCTGGGCCTGGGCGCTGTCCCTCAGCTCTTCAGCTCAAGGCGAGCGCTCTACCACTTGAGCCACAGCGCCACTTCCAGTTTTCTGGTGGTTTATTGGAGATTAGAGTCTTATGGACTTTCCTGCTTGGGCTGGCTTTGAATCAGGATGACAGGCGTGAGCCACTGGCACCCAGCTAAGTGGCTCACACTTATAATTCCAGCTACTCAAGAGTCTGAGATCTGGGGGATCAGCCCTTGAAGCCAGCCCAGGCAGAAAAGTCCATAAGACTCTGCCAATGAACCAGCAAAAAACTGGGAATGGAGCTGTGGCTCAAGTAGTAGAGCACCAGCCTTGAGTGAAAAAGCGAAAGGACAATGCTCAGCTCCTGAGTTCAAGCCGCAGGACCAGCACACACGCAGACACACATACACACACACACTCACTCGTAAGTTCAGTATCCCCTTGGTAGAGGTAGATTGGGGGTCCCAGAGACCCCTCCCCTCCTTCCCCCAAATCTACAGATGCTCCAGCTCCTTTTTCTTTTTTTTGTTTTTTGGGTCTGGTCGTGGGGCCTGAACTCTGGGCCTGGGCGCTGTCCCTCAGCTCTTCAGCTCAAGGCTAGCGCTCTACCACTTGAGCCACAGCGCCACTTCCGGCTTTTTTCTTTTTGCTTATGTGGTGCTGAGGAATGGAACCCAGGGCCTCAGGCATGCAAGGCAAGCGCTCTACCACTGAGCCACCTTCCCAGCCCCTCCAGCTCCTCTTTCAAGTGGTGTAGATTTGCACAGAACTTACGACATCCTCCTACAGTAATTTTCCTGGATGACCCCTGACCCGCCATGCAATCAGTTAACTCCTTGTTCACGCTGGGCCGGCGGGACCTTCCGCCATCTTGAGGGTGACATTGTGAGCCTCAGTGCGGGCGCTGGTGAGAAGCATTTGTCTGTCCTGTCCCGAATGATCCAGCCCTGCAAAGGCCTGAGGACTAAATAAGTGAACAATAAAACCTCCGGGCATGGTGGCCACACACCCAGAGTCTTTCCTTTTTTTTTTTTTTGGTGCAGTTAGTGCACTGTCACTGAGCTTTTGTGCTCAGGGCTGGCGCTCTACCATTTGAGCCACAGCTCCACTTCTGGCTTTTGGGTGGTTCATTGGAGATAAGAATCTCATAGCTTTTCCTGCCCTAGTTGGCTTTGAACCTCCATCCTCAGACGTGAGCCACCAGCTCCTAGGCTTTATGTGTGTGTGTTGTTTCTGTTTTATTTATTTATTTATTTTTGGTCAGTCCTGGGGCCTGAACTCAGGGCCTGGGTGCTATACCTGAGCTTCTTTTGCTCAAGGCTAGCTCTCTACTACTTGAGTCACAGTGCCAACTTGCGGCTTTTTCTGTTTGTGGTGCTGAGGAATCGAACCCAGGTCTTCGTGCATGCTAGGTGAGCACTCTACCGCTAAGCCACCTTCCCAGCCCTTGTTGTAATGTGAATTGATTCTTAAGGTTTAAAAAGCAGAATCAGGAGACCGGGGATAGGGCCTAGCAAGCATGAAGTGCTGGGTCCAGCCCAAAGCTGATGCGCACAGAACCAATAACGACAAAAGAAGAAAAGAGCAAATGTTAACTCAGAAAGCTGGGCAATGGTGGCTCACGCGTGTAATCCCAGCTGTTCAGGAGGCTGAGATCTGAGGATCGCAGTTCAAAAGCCAGCCTGGCCCAAGAGAGTAGATGAGACTCTGAACTCCAGCGAACCAGCAAAAAACTGGGAATGGAGCTGTGCCTCAAGTAGTAGAGCGCCAGCCTTAAGCAAAAAGAAGTTCAGGGATGGCACCTAGGATGTGAATTCAAGCCCCAGGAGCAGCATACGCATGCATGTACACACACACACATGCGCACACACACACACGCGTACACACACACGTACACACACACACCCAGCCCAGCCCAGCATGTTGTTGTGACTGGGCGCTGTCTGTGGGCTCCCTGCGATCCTGGGCCAGCGTCCCACGCGGCCCTGCCCTGTCTGGGCTCTCCATCTGCGAGGGGGTGGGGCCGCGTCACTGAACTGCCGTGACCTTGTCCAGGCTGCTGCCCCGCCCCGTTAGGAAGGGGGCTTGCCCTTCCTTGGGCTGAAGTGTTTGGGACCCCAGGCAGGAAGTCCTGGAATAGGAGAGGTGACCAGCCTGGCCCGGAGAGCTGAGTGCATTCCAGCAGCCAGGCACCAGTGGCTCACGCCTTGTAATCCTCACCGCTGCAGAGGCTGAGATCTGGAGGATCGCAGTTCCAAGCCAGCCCAGGCAGGAAAGGCTGTGAAACTCTTTATCTCCAATTAAACATCAGAAAACCAAGCCGGGCACCCGTGGCTCACACCTGTCATCCTAGCAACTCAGGAGGCTGAGAGCTGAGGATCACAGTCCAAAGCCAGCTTGGGCAGGAAAGTCCAGGAGACTCTTATCTCCAATGAACCACCAGAAAACTGGAAGTGGCGCTGTGGATCAGGTGGTAGAGCGCTCGCCTTGAGCTGAAGAGCTGAGGGACAGCGCCCAGGCCCAGAGTTCAAGCCCCATGGCCAACTAAAGAAAGACTTGATGATTCCGCCGCTGCCTTGCTGGATTTGGGGTGTGACCGTTGTAGTTTTGTGGTGTGGCCCCAGGTTCGAGCCTGACCGTGCATCTCCCCAGGTCCCCCACAGGCTTCTTCCGAGTCTTCCCCGTCCCCCGTGGAGTCAGCCGTGCACCCCGACACCCCCAGCCGGGAGCCAGCCCCGCGTGCAGCCCCCTCCCCCCAGCCACAGGAGGCCAGCGGGCCAGGTGAGTGGCTGTGTCCCCCCCCCCCACGGGGTGCAACCCCCGGGCCGCCTGGTGGGGGTCACCTAGAGCCCAACCTGACACCCCCCCGCCCCTCCAGGTGGGGACCCCGTGGAGGTGCGGGCCATCGTGAAGCGCAACGAGGTGGCTGCAGACCCCACAGCCGAGACGGGGAGTCTCCGGTTTGTGGGGGTTAATGGCGGGTAAGAGGGGGACCCCACCCTCACCCCCTCCATCCAAAGGCCTGCGTGAATAAGACTTAACCTGGGCACCTTAGCTATGCTGAATTCGTGGGGAAACTGAGGCACAGGGAAGCTGGGCGCCTGCCCTGGGGCTCTAGAGCTGGTGTCTGTGGGAAGGTGCTGGCTTCGGCTCTGAAAGGCGGAGGGGGGGAACTGATTCATGCTGAGTTCACAAGTGGGGGCCCGGCGTGGTAGCTCACGCCTGTAATCCCAGCAGAGGCAGGATCACAAGTGCACTGAAAAGTCCACAAACAGCCTTAGAGTTGGTCCACGGAGCATCTGTGCCAGGTGGGGCAAAGTTTAAAACCCGGTGGAGGATAGGCCCGCCCCCTCCCACCCGCCCGCCCGCCCCGCCTCCTCAGGTATGAGTCCTCATCGGAAGACTCCAGCACGGCCGAGAACTTCTCAGACGACAGCACCGAGAACGAGGCCCCAGGACCCGAAGCCAGGGTTCCCGGCGAGGCCGAAGCCCCCCAGCAAACAGCCGCGGGGACAGCGGGCCTCCGGGCCGGCCGCCCGCCCTGCCAGCTGTCTCGGGAGTCTCAGCACGTGCCCACGGCCGAGGGGGCGGCAGGGCCCAACTCGGAGGAGGAAATCCGGTCAGTTTTCTGCGTGGAGGGGCGTCAGGCAGCGCCTAGGGTGGGCGTACCTTGTGTCTTCTTTCCCTATCAGTCCTGCACACTGTAGTGTGAATTAGTGAGCCAGCACTTTCCCCTTCTGAGCTCCTCCATGTCTGGAGGCTTGCTAAAGGTATCAGAGCCTTTTGCTTTTCTGTTTTTGGTTTTGTTTTGTTTTTGTTGGTCATGTGGCTCAAACTCAGGGTCTGGGCATGTCCCTGAGCTCTTTTAAGTCTAGCTCTGCTACTTGAGCCAGAGAGCCACTTCTGGTTTTCTGGTGATTCACTGGGGTAAGAGTCTCATGGCCTTTCCTGCCTAGGTTGGCTTTGAATGATGATCCTCAGAGCTCAGCCTCCTGAGTAGCTAGGATAACAGGCATGAGCCACCAGCGCCCAGCTGAAGCCCTTCTTCAGGCTGCTGATAACAGCATTTATTTAGCAGGCTAGGCTAGTTCATCCCTCACCTCTCACCTATTTAAGTCTCTCTCTCTCTCTCTCTCTCTCTCTCTCTCTCTCTCTCTCTCTCTCTCTCTTTCTTCCCCCTGACGAAATATCTGACAAAGGCCAAGTGTGGTAGCTTACACCTGTAATTCCAGCTAGGTCCTTGGGAGGTAGAGACAGGAGGATCATGGGATTGAGGCCCAGCCTGGCCAGACCCGTCTCTGAAACAGACATACATAAGAAGTGGTGTTGGGGGCTGGGAAGGTGGCTCAGTGGTAGAGCGCTTGCCTTGCATGCATGAGGCCCTGGGTTCGATTCCTCAGCACCACATAAGCAGAAAAGAGCCGGAAGTGGCGCTGTGGCTCAAGTGGTAGAGCGCTTGCCTTGAGCTGAAGAGCTGAGGGACAGCGCCCAGGCCCTGAGTTCAAGCCCCACGACCGACAAAAAGCAGTGTTGACAGGGGGATCAGGGTCTGTGTCCAGCCCGGGAGGAAGCGCGAGACCCTGCCGGAGAAGGAGACCAAAGGCAGAATGACCGGGAACGGGAGACCAGGAATAGGACGTGTGCGCTCCCGCTCCTGCTCTGCGGGGCGGGCAGTGCACCTCGGGGCTCGCGTGCGCTCACCCCCCCTCACCCCCCCTCACCCCCCCTCCCCACAGGATGGAGCTGAGCCCGGACCTCATCTCGGCCTGCCTGGCCCTGGAGAAATACCTGGACAACGCCAACGCGCTCACGGAGCGGGAGCTGGTAGGAGGCCGGGGCGCCCGGGGTGGGGTGGGGGTGCCCGCCCCGGCCAGCCCGGCTCACCCCCCCCCCCCCCCCCCCCCCCCGCCGTGCGCAGAAGGTGGCCTACACCACGGTGCTGCAGGAGTGGCTGCGCCTGGCCTGCCGCAGCGACGCCCACCCCGAGCTCGTGCGCCGCCACCTCGTCACCTTCCGCGCCATGTCCACGCGCCTGCTGGACTACGTGGTCAACATCGCCGACAGCAACGGCAACACCGCCCTGCACTACTCCGTGTCGCACGCCAACTTCCCCGTGGTGCGGCAGCTGCTGGACAGCGGTGAGGCCCCAGCGCGAGGCCCTGCCGCCCGGCCGGCCGGCGGGGGGAGGTGGCACCGATGCCCTGGTCCGATGGAGGAGGCTCCGCCCTCGCAGTCTGAGGGAGGAGGCGCCAGTCCCCCTGCCTGATGGAGGAGGCCGCCCCTTCCCCAATCGGAGGGCGGAGGCTTCGCCTTCCCAGTCCGATGGAGGCGGCAGCTCCTCCCCTGTCTGCTGGGGAGGGTCTCACCGGCCTCTGATGCGGGACCTGGGCCTCGTAGTCCGAGGGAGGAGGACAGCAGCCCGGGCAGCGCCATCCCGCGGCCCTCGCCCACCCCTGAGTGTGCTGCCCGGTGGAGGCCGCCTGCCCGGAGCCCTGGTCAGAGGGGACAGTGTGGCCTCCGGCCTGCGCCCTCAATGGGGGCGACACGGGCGGTCTGAAGGCTGATTCACAGGGTTGCCCCTGAGATACCCCAAACCTGACCATCACCCCGTCTAGGAGCCCCTCCTCGAGGGGGAGACACACACACACACACCCGCTAGGAGCCCCTCCTCGAGGGGGAGACCCCCCTGCCACCATGGATGGGACTTATGAGAAAAGGGGTCCAGATAACCCAGCCCCCAGGGGACCCGGGAAGGGGCTAACCTCTGACCCCGCGCGCCCCGCCCCTCAGGTGTGTGCCAGGTGGACAAGCAGAACCGCGCCGGCTACAGCCCCATCATGCTCACCGCGCTGGCCACGCTCAAGACCCAGGACGACATCCAGACGGTGGACCAGCTCTTCCGCCTGGGGGACGTCAACGCCAAGGCCAGCCAGGTGCGGGCTCCCGAGCCCAGTTCCACGCCCAGGGGACAGGTTCCAGGCCACCGATGGGGAAACTGAGGCCCACGAGAGGCAGGGTTCCTTCTCCAAGGTCCCAGGCCAGCCCAGGGGAACACAGAGACCCAGTTCCAAAGACAACATGGGGCGGGGGCGGGGCTAGCAGGGGCGGGGCTCTGGGTGTGGGCGGGGCCCAGTGGTGGGCGGGGCTCTGGCCAGGGCGGGGTTCAATGATGGAGCCGGGCTCTTGGCGAGGGCGGAGCTCTGGATGTAGGGTGTGGTCAGTAGTGGGCGGGGCTCTGTGCTGAGGGCGGGGCCAATGGTGGGGCAGGGCTCGGGTAGGGTCCGGGGCCCAGTGGCAGACCGCTTGCTAGCAAATGCAAGTCCCCGAGTTCAAAACCCAGTACAGCCCAAGGAAATAAAAAGATTCAAGGCGCCAGACACCCGTGGCGCTCGCCTGTCATCCTAGCTACTCAAGAGGCTAAGAGCTGAGGATCAAGGTTCAAAGGCAGCCCGGGCAGGAAAGGCCATGAGATTCTTATCTCCAAGGAACCTGCAAAAAGCCAGAAGTAGAACTGTGGCTCAAGTAGTACTAGAGCAGCGGCCTTGAGCACCACCTGGCTCAGAGTTCCAGCTCCAGTACCAATAAAAAAAAAGATTTTTTTTTCCCTAAAGTTCAGAAAAAAATCCCAGCACTCAGGAGGCTTAAGCAGGATGATCAGGAAGCTCTCAAGTTCAGGAAGATCTCAATTCAGCGTCTGCCTGAGCTGCACAGTGAGACCGTATTGGGGGAGAAATGAAACAGGGAAATCAGCATCATGCACAGTGACTTAGATCTGTAATCTTAGAGCGCTAAAAAGAGGATGGTATTGTATTTTAAAGCCAGCCCAGGCAAAGAGCTAGCCACGTCCCATCTCCAAACAAGCCAGCCATGCTGCGGCATAGCTATCTGGAAGACGAAGAATCATGGCCAGAGGCCAGCCCGAGCATGCCTTTCAGGGCTGGAAATGTATTGGTGATAGGAGGCCCTAGGTTTGATCTCTGGCCCAGCAAAGGTTACAAAGCAATGTGTAACCTCTTGTGTCTGGCTTTTTTTTTTGTTGTTGGTTGTGGGGCTTGAACTCGGGGTCTGGGTGTTGTCCCTCAGCTCTTCAGCTCAAGGCTAGCGCTCTAACACTTGGGCCACAGGGCCACTTCGGGCTTTTACTGTGTATGTGGTGCTGAGGAATCGAATCCAGGGCCTCATGCATGCCAGGCAAGCGCTGTACCACTGAGCCACCTTCCCAGCCCCTCCCATGTGTCTGCCTTTTTTCCCTCAACAATGGTGTGTGCAAAATTCATCCATGTTGAGTATTCTTAGTATACAAAATACTGTTCTCATCCCTTTTCGTGGCTGAGTATTATTCTATTATATGGCTGAACCACAATTTGATGTGTGTGTGTGTGTGTGTTGTGACTGGAGCTTGAACTCAGGGCCTTGTGCTTCCATTATACTTTTTGGCTCAAGGATAGCGCTCTACCATTATTTATTTATTTATTTTGGACGCTTAAGGAGAAAGGTCGTCATTCTGTAACCCATTCTGGCCTGGAACTTGCTTTGTAGCCCAGACTGGTCTTTTTTTGTTATTATTATTGTTCATGAGGCTTGGGGCCTGGGCGCTGTCCCTCAGCTCTTTCACCCATGGCTAGCACTCTACCACTTTGAGCCACAGCGCCACTTCCGGTTTCCTGAGTGGTTTATTGGAGATAAAAGTCTCACAGTCTTTCCTGCCTGGACTAGCTTTGAACCGCGATCCGATCTCAGCCTCTCAAAGGCTGGGATTACAGGCATGTACTCCTATACCCAGTGCTCTTGCATTGACTGTTTTATTGAGGCATACCCCTTACATGGACACAGCTACAGCTCTTAGCTGGATGATGGGGGCGGTCCCCACAGTTGAAGGACACGGGGTGGGGTGGGCAGAGGTCCCCTGAGAATGAGACCTTGAAGCCGAGGGGACCTCGAAGACTGTTCAAGACATGATATATGACGAGGCGGGGCATGGGGCAGAGGCGGGGCCTGCGAGGGCGAAGCCACAGCCCCATTGGTTGCCGGGGCCAGGCGGGGCAGAGGCGGGGCCGGCCATGGCAAAGCCACAGCCCCATTGGTTGTCGTGGCCAGGCGGGGCAGGGGCGGGGCCAGCCAGGGCGAAGCCACAGCCCCATTGGTTGTCGTGGCCAGGCGGGGCAGGGGCGGGGCCAGCCAGGGCGAAGCCACAGCCCCATTGGTTGTCGTGGCCAGGCGGGGCAGGGGCGGGGCCGGCCAGGGCGAAGCCACAGCCCCATTGGTTGTCGTGGCCAGGCGGGGCAGGGGCGGGGCCGGCCAGGGCGAAGCCACAGCCCCATTGGTTGCCGTGGCCAGGCGGGGCAGACGGCGCTGATGCTGGCGGTCAGCCACGGCCGCGTGGACGTGGTGAAGGCGCTGCTGGCCTGCGACGCGGACGTCAACGCCCAGGACGACGACGGCTCCACGGCCCTCATGTGCGCCTGCGAGCACGGCTTCAAGGAGATCACGGGGCTGCTGCTGGCCGTGCCCAGCTGCGACATCGCGCTCACAGACCGCGTGAGTCCCCTTGGGCGCCCGCTGCCCCCCACGGTGTCCCCGGGCGCAGGGGGCGCTGATGTCCTGGGGGCCTTGCAGGACGGGAGCACCGCGCTCATGGTGGCTCTGGACGCTGGGCAGAGCGAGATCGCGTCCATGCTGTACTCCCGCTTGAACATCAAGTGCTCCGTGAGTCTTGGGGCGAGGGCCCGCGGGGGGGGGGGGGGGGGGGGGCCGCGGAAGGCGAGGCCCCGCCAGGCCTCCGCATGGCTAAGCGCACTCCACCCGTCACCAGCCGTGCAGCCAGGAAAGGCCGCTGGGGCTTGGCTTTGGTGGGGTTCAGGCCTGAGAATCACATCGTGCATGGAAAATAGAGCTGGTGAGGGAATTCCTAGCAGCCAGGTGTGGGGGTTCACACCTGTAACCCCAGCTACTCAGGAGGGGCGGTTCCAGGCCGGCTCCCTTCCTTCCAGTCGCACTGACTGCAGCCTCCCTGCTCCTACCCCAGGGCCTTTGCATCTGCCACCCCACTCTCCACAGGGCCTCACAGCCCCGGGCCGTGGCTCCAGCCAGCCTGCCCAGAGCCCTCGCTCACCGCCCGCTCTCTGCTTTCTTCTCTCCGTTACAGTTTGCCCCAATGTCAGACGATGACAGTCCAGCGTCGTCCTCGGCTGAGGAGTGACCACCAGGGAAAGCCCTGCCCCACCCACCCCCCTCCCCACACTCCCCCCCGCCTCCCACTCCCCAAGACCCAGATCTGAAAGACCAATCGGCGTCTTCACCCCTGGTGGGGGAGCCCCAACATCTAGAGGACTCCAGACCGACATGGGGTTCCCCCAGCGCTCCCCCCCATTCAAAGGCACCGCAGTACGAATGGAAGCCGAAACCCCCTCTGGGCGGCGCCAGTGGCCGGCGCTGGGGGGTGGGGGGAGATCAGCAACCGTGGTCGGAGAGGGTGGCGGGGAGAACGGGTGGGGGGAGCAGGAGGGGCTGGAGTCACAGGTTTGCTTCCACACCCCAAGTCTTAGCCTTCAGCGGCCCTGTCCCAAGTGGCTTTGCGGCCGCCCCCCCCCCGTTGGTTATCTTGAGGGACATAGTTCTGGGGGACCCGGGCCCCCAATGGAGCTGGGGGGCTCAGGACGCAACAGCCAACGCCCCATGACCCGCAGGTGCTAACCCTTCCCCCCCCACCACCATGGAGGCCTTGCTAGATAGTTCTAGAAAACCCCAAGGACGCACAGGAAGGAGAGGATCCCGTTCTCAGAGCGGCCCTGCCTGCAGAGCCCCACGCGGGGTGGAGGGGACCCCGGGTTCCACGCGCCCCGTTAGCGCTTGGCTGCCCTGGAGGCCTGGGCGCACCGACGGGCAGGACTTTGGGGGGGGGTTGTGTTCCATGTTTAATGTGTGGTTTTTGTCTTTTAATCTTTTAACTACTAGACACTTTGCAGCCTCCTGGAATCGGGCGGCCATGGCCACAGTTCCCTTCGTGGCCAATTTTTTCACCATCTTCCTTTTTTGGGGGTCCCCAGAATTTCAATACAATTTTCTCTCTTTTTTTTTTTTTTTCCTTTGGTCAGTTGTGGGGCTTGAACTCTGGGCCTGGGCGCTGTCCCTCCGCTCCTCAGCTCAAGGCGGGCGCGCTACCACTTGAGCCACGGCACCACTTAGGGTTTGCTGGTAGTTTTATTGGAGATTAGAGTCTCACAAACTTTCCTGCCCCGGCTGGCTTTGAACCACAATCCTCAGATCGCAGCCTCCTGAGCAGCGAAGCTGACAGGCGTGAGCCGCCAGCGCTGGGATTAGTTATCTTTTCTGTTCCTTTACTTGGTGTGTCAGAAAAAGGAAAAGGGTTCTCCGTGTACTTGCGATCTGGGGGTGAGCTCTCCCCTTACGTTTGGGTCTCAGCCCGCCCTCCTGGCCTGTAAACCCCAGCCTTCCTTTACAGATCAGGGACGCCGACCCCCGAACCCCACTTTCACTAAGTAAAGCAAAGTAGCCAAGTGCCACCTTCTCACCAAAGGAGCCATCTTGGCTTGAAGTCAGCCTGGGTTGCTCTGGTTTTTATTAAAAGGCAAAAGGGCTTATCTGGGCCAGGCATTGTGCAGGACGCCTGTAATCCCAGCACTCTGGAGGCTGAGGAATGACGCTGTGGGCTCAGTGCTAGCCTGGGCTAAAGTGAGATGCTGTTGTGAAGATTAAGAAAGAAAAAAAAAGCGTAAGCTTGGGAGCTTGGATGGCCCAAAGAGAGAGTCTGGCTGGATGAGCCAATGGATGGACAGATGGGTGGACGGATGGACCGATGGATGGATGGGTGGGTGGATTGCATGTGTGTGTGTGTGTGTGTGTGTGTGTGTGTGTGTGTGTGTGAAGTAGAAAACCAACGAGGATGGGGGACGATTGCTGGTGTGTGTTGGAAGGTGTAGCTTTAGGACTTTTTGGAAAAGCCATGTGCCTTTGGTCCTGGTGGGTGTGACCCCAGCTCCCAGCTGAGTCCCCGCCTGCCTGCGCTCCCTGTGGCCCCACCCCACCCCCACGCATACGCGTGACCCCGCGTTTCACTCCTCACGACGGTACATCCATGATGACAGTATTATATGCAAATGAAGTATCCTTTTTTTATAATCTTTTTGTAGAAATTAAAAAGAATAAAGTAACGGATAATGCCAGTGCCTCAGGGTTTTCATTAGCGCTTGTTTCGTTTTTGTTTCTTGTGCTGCTCCTGGGGCTTGAACTCAGGGCCTGGGCACAGTCCCTCCAGGCTAGAGCCACAGAACCACTTCCAGCTTCGTGGTGGCTAGTTGCACAGAGAGTATAAGGCAAGCACTAGTAGGTCACGCCTGTAATGCTAGCTCCCCAGGAGGCCGAGATCTGAGGATGGGCCTCAAAGCCAGCCTGGCAGGAGAGTCTGTGAATCTTCCTTCCCTTCCTTCCTTCCTTCCCTCCCTTCCTTCCCTTCCTTCCTTCCTTCCCTTCCTTCCCTTCCTTCCTCCCCTTCCTTCCTTCCTTCCTTCCTTCCTTCCTTCCTTCCTTCCTTCCTTCCTTCCTTCCTCCCCTTCCTCCCTTTCCTTCCTTCCTTCCTTCCCTTCCTTCCTCCCTTTCCTCCTCTTCCTTCCTTTCTTCCTTCCTTCCTTCCTTCTCTCTCTTTCTTTCTTTATTCCTGTCCCTGTGCTCAAAGCTAGCACTCTACCATTTGAGCCACAGCACCACTTCCGGTTTTCTGGTGGTTCAGTGGAGATCAGAGCCTCACAGACTTCCCTGCCCCAGCTGATTTCAAATTGTGATCCTCACGTCTCAGCCTCCTGAGTAGCTAGCATTACAGGTGTGAGCCACTGCGCCCAGCTACACTTTTTTTTTTTTCTCACGGGGACTTTGCTGCCGCGCTGACTTTGAGCCACTGTCTGGCTGTGATAAACTCTGCAGTGAGGTTTGAACTGCGCAGGGGCTTTGTGCTTGCTCCGCTGATGTTCTGTCACTGGAGCTGCTTATTTTGGAGAAAATCCCAGTACTGCCCCCCAAAGATAAATCTACTGCCTTTTTTCATCAAAGGAACTCTAAAGTCCAAAATTATTTTTGGATGTCAGTGTGAGGACCGAGTGGAAAATCCCACACGTGTGTGACTTCTCGCAATGGCTCAAAGTCTACGTTCAGAAATACTAACAACACACGACACTACTTTTGGGTTGTGTGTAAAATGGTAGAAGCCTTGAGCTGGTGGCTCACGCCTGTCATCCTAGCTACACAGGAAATCTAGGGGATCATGGTTCAAAGCCAACCCAGACAGGAAAGTGTTGAGAACTTCTCCCATTAGCCAGCAAAAAGCTAGACTAGAGGCATGGTTCCAGTGGTAGAGCCAGCAAGACAAAGCAAGTGTGAGGCCCCGAGTTCCTTCCAATCCTGGTACTGGCAGAAGGAAACAATACATATGTTTATGTATATGTATATATATATATATATATATATATATGAAACAACTGACTTGTGTTTAAACATAGGTTTCATCCTCAAAATGTGTGTGTGTGTGTGAGAGAGAGAGAGAGAGAGACTTGGGTGCTGTTCCCTGAGCTTAGCTGGTACTCTACCATTTGAGCCACAGCCCCATTTCTGCCCTTTTTTGCTAGTTACTTGGAAATAAGAGTCTCAGGCTTTTCTGCTTAGGCTGGCTCTGAACCACTATCCTCAGATCTTAGCTTCTTTTGTTTCTTTCTTCCAGTTCTGGGACTTGAATTCAGGTCCTAGGCACTGTCCCTGAGCTTCTTTTGCTCAAGGCGAGCACTCTACCACTTGGGCCACAGCGCCACTTCTGGCTTTTTCTGTGCATGTGGTACTGAGGAATCAAACCCAGGGCTTCATACATGCTAGGCAAGCGCTCTACCACTGTGACACATTCCCAGCTCTGAGGGTATTTATTCCTAAGCCAGCGGTTCTTGGCCTGTATCAAGTTTCTCAGGAGTTTCCGAGCCAAGAAAAGCCTTTAGGAAATAATAATGAAAAAAAAATGGTTTCTCATTTTTTCTCAGAGAGCAATTGCCAACCCCATTTTATCTTGTTCTAGTTCCTTCCTTTGCCCCTCCCTCCCTCTCTCCCTCTTTCCTTTCTCTCCCCCCCGCTTTTTTTTTTTTGCCAGTCCAGGGACCTGATCTTCTGAGGCTTTACCATTTGAGGCACAGTGCTTCTTCCAGCTTTTTCTGTGATTAATTGGGATAAGAGGCTCTGGGGAACTTTATCTCAGCCTCCTGCAGTAGCTGGGATTACAAGTGTGAGCCACCAGTGCCCAGCTCTTTGTTTAAAATCTTTTTTGAGGATGTATATAGCCTAGGCTGCCCACACATTGAAAAATCCTTCTGCCTCAACTTCTCCCAAGCTGGGAGCCGGAAGGGCTCAGCTTCTACTTCCAGCTTCTTTTAAAGGTCTCTTGATACTGTTTTCTAAAGCCACAGCCCAGTTTTCCAACCCCATCCACAGAACACAAGGACTTCCATTTCTCCACACACACACCCCATTGGCACATTATTGGGCACTTTTGGGGGAGGGGGTGCTTTGGTTTCTTTGTTTGGGAGACAGTAGCCATTCTAAGGACTGGGAGGTGGAACTTTTGGAAATGAGAAGGTGGGTGGCCTTTTGGATGGGCTCATCTATATATTTGTCAAGCTCTGGTTGCTCAATTTGCAATGGCTTATCTCCTGAACACCCCCGCACCCCCCAACTGATAAGGCTATCTTTAGCTCCAAGGCTTGGAAAAGGTTAGGAACCAGCCAAGGTCATGGGCAAAATGCCCAGCCAGAAACCAAACCCAAGGCCTTCCCCCTCCCCCTCCCAAATGCTGAGGTTGAAGCCAGGGTCTTGTTTTGCATGCCTATAATCCCAGTAGGCTGAGATCTGAGGATCAAAGTTCAAAGCTAGCTCAGGCAGGAAAGTCCTGTGAGACTCTTAGCTCCAATTAACCAGCAAAAAGCTCGAAGTAGAGCTGTGGCTCAAGTGGCAGAGCAGTAGACTTTAGGTAAATAGCCAAGGACAGTGCCTAGGTCCTGAACACACACACACAAAGTAAGTTTTAGATAGTTGTACAAACAGTTTCAGTCCCACAAGTCAGATTATGGTCCTGGGACTTGAACTCTGGGCCTGGGTGCTGTCTCAGCTTCTTTTGTTTAAAACTAAGCGCTCTACCACTTGAGCCACTGCATCACTTCTGGCTTTTTCTCAGTAGTTTACTGGAGATGAATCTCATGGGCTTTCCTACCCTGGCTGGCTTGAACTGCGATTCTCGTATCTCAGCCTCCTGAGTAGTTAGGATGACAGGTCACTAAGCCCTGCCCCTGATACTTCTCCTGCGCCTATTGGTCATTGCCGATAACTAATAGTGAAGGGAGCCAATGAGGCTTACACTCCGGTGGAGGGGGGGGATAGGGCGGGGCCCCAGGATGCTGATTTAGACTCAAAATCCTACTGGTAAAAACTTCTTGTGGTCCAGGCTGCTTATGACATATTCATGTTTAGAGATACAGTGTCCAAAAAGAAATGTACTCTTTATCTGACATGTCACTGTATATCACCTTTATAACAATGAAAATATTAAAAAAGATATATTCTCAGGGAAGTTAGAATGAACTTGTGACTTTGAAATTATGTAATCATTTAATCACAATCAAAAAAAAAAGAACCTTGGGGAAGGGAGGGAGGGAGGGGATGGTAGGGGGAAAACAATGGAGGGGGTAACAATGTTCAAGAGGAAGTGTACTCATTACCTCACTCATGTAACTGTAACCCTCTGTATAGTAGCTTTACAATAAAATAAAATTTAAAAAAAAAAAAAGATATATTCTAACTCAAGACACCTGCAAAGTCACCCAGCACTTTCTGCCTCATGCTCTGTCCTGCGAAGGGAATTAGGAGAGGGTGTAGAAACTATTTCTGTAACTTTAAAAAAAAAAAATGTAATCTGCCACACCCTATATATCAATAGCCAGTTTCCTAAAACAATATCGAACTTTCTGTACCCAGGCACTGATTTCCCCTCCCTATTTTCGAAGAAAATACTAACCACCATCCCTCCAACTGATTTCTTCCTGTGCAGTTTGGTTGGAGTCCCAT